ACTGCCTTCGGCTCAGGTCATGACCCCAGAGTCCTGGGATCGAGTCCCACATCAGGCTCCCTGCTCGGCGGGGAGTCTGGTTCTCCCTCTAACCCTACCCCCTCTTGCGCTCTCTCTCTCACTCTCTCTCTCTCTCAAATAAATAAATAAATAAAATCTTAAAAAAAAAAAATTTTCTAAACGAATAATCTAAATAAACAATCATGTCCCACTTCTACTCTTAGTCCTGGTGAAACAATCTTTTGCATTCTAAGTATGTGAATATGTAATAAGAAGGAGCACCTGGATGGCTCAGTCGGTTAAGCATGTGCCTTCGGCTCAGATCATGATCTCAGGATCCTGGGATGGAGTCCCCCATCAGGCTCCCTGCTGAGAAGGGAGCCTGCTTCTCCCTCTCCCTCTGCCCCTCCCCCTGCTTGTGCATGCACTCTCCCTCTCTCTGTCAAATAAATAAATAACATCTTCAAAAAAAAATGTAATCACAGGACTTCACAAAGCCTTGCTCACCTTTAGGGGTAGCTGTTGAATTATGAAAACCCATCACACAGAGAAGTGGATACATACATTACTGGGGCCAGAGAGTGTAAACAAAAAGGGGAAAATAATGCCATGAACACCCAACCTAGTAAATAGATGGAGCCCAGAGAGAAATGTGAGTGGGGAAAAGAGCATTTACATTGAGTCATATCTTCCAGTATCTTCTTCCCCAAGTGATTTGTTTGGCTACACACACATGTTCATTGGTCATCATGGAAAGAATACTGGAGACCTGTTACAGCCCCAATTTTAGGGGCACTACCCAGTTTTTCCCTACTCAAATGAAAACAGTCATAGCAGTGACAGCCATAATAGTAAAAAGAAGAGCTTTTACTTATGTAGTGTGAACTATGAGAAAGACATTACTCAAAGCCAGTATACAAATTAACTTGATCAATTCTTACAACAACCCTGAGGCAGTTACTATTACTATTACTACCCCCATTTTATTTACAGAAAAGGAAACTAAGGCACAGAGTCAAATACTATTTATCGCTTTACATTGTCGCCCCATTTAATCCTTGCAGCCACCTTACGAGGTAGATTCTAAGGCTTGGAGGAATGAGGAAATTTGCCCCAGCTAAGAAGAGGAAGAGCTGGGATTAAAACACAAGCTTCTGATCCTAGATCTTAATCACTGTCTAATACTGCTTCCCTCCACCTTACAGTACCGTTCTTCCGACACCTCGCCGTAACTGCACTGCTCAGAGATGGGCCGGTGTAGCAGCTACTGTTAGACGCTGCCCGGGTGTCCTTTCTGAGGGGACCCCTGGCTGCTATGAGGTGGCTCCCAAGAGCTCATGCATGCCTTTTCTCCAGGGTCTAGGCCCTGCCCAGAAATGGGGGGTGGGCTACATTTTTCACTCCTCCCTACAGCCAGTGCCTGAGATTGGAGGACAGAAGCCAAGTCCTCTTGTCTCAACTCTGAGGTACCCTTAACTCCTGAGCACCATGGAGTCAGGCTGAGGATAGACTTCAGCTGAAACCGCACCTTTGCTTGGCTTCTTCTCCTGCTGTCTGGCCTCCCCCCACCACAAGTGAGCTTCTCCCAGGAGCTCCACTTCTTCCCCCCATCAATCACCCACACAAGAAACCTGGCTTCCCCTTCTGCTTCTCAGGAGCCTCACCTAGGAGACAGACAGGCTTTATCAAGCACAAACAGCAAAGTTTTAGACTGCAATCAAAGTAGCACAAAGGATGCTCCAGAACTAGTATCATTGGCTTTTTAGATAAAAGTATTTTTATCCTTTAAAAAAAAAAAATCCCCCATTTTTGCTTAAGTTGCTTCAGGATGAAAGCTAAAAACATTTATGTAATACACTGAAAGGAGCTTAAACACTTACTTCACTAAAGAAGCTTTGCGACACAGTTTGTCAGCCCCTCTGTAGTAATTCACCAACTGCATCAGCCCAGGCTCGTGACCTACAAAGGAAAGAGAAGGCTCAGAAGGGAAAGAGGACAGGTGGGAAATGACAATGTCAGCACCAGCATGTAGGAGAGAACAGCTGTGTCATGCCCAGCTTTTCTTCCTCCCATTTCAGGACTGGTTGGCGGAAATGGAACATGCTGTCGCCCTGCACCTACCTGTATTCCCCTTCCGCAGCATGGCACTGGAAACCCTCCCCCGCCCCACAGTGGATATTAAGGTATCAACCTCCCAGGTCTGCCAAAGACCACTGCTGCTGTTGTTTTTTCTTCTTAGGGTGGAAGAGTATTTTCTATTTCACCTCTCTTTGATCCCCACCCACCCCATTCTTGGCTTAACACAGAGGGATTTAATAATTTCTGTACAATACAACTTTAACAGTCATGCTTTGACACCCCTAACCTTGCTTTTCTACAGCCATCAGGGAGGGCAGTAGAACTATGCTATTGCTGTTCTCAAGCATGTCTACCTCTGCGAGCTTCTAGGAGAGCCACAAGAGGTGAACAAAGGTGTGGAGAAGCCATGTCTATAAAATCAGAAGCCCTGAGGACTTTCTTCTGTGTATCCTCCACAGAGAAACTCATCTTCAGTAAATCTTACTGCATGTCCCCTCCTCTATAAAATAGAGCAGAAAGGATACAAACAAAACAAAAGCCTCCACTTTTGTTTAAAATCCTAACAAAATGCATTGAATTTCCAGCAACAGAAATAAAAGTAAAACCAAACAGGGCGCTGAGTGGCTCACTCAGTTAGGCGTCTGCCTTCAGCTCAGGTCATGATCCCAAGGTCCTGGGATGGAGCCCCATGTCCGGCTCCCTGCTCAGCGTAGGGGGGGCCTGCTTCTCCCTCTCCCTTTGCCCCTCCCCCCCAGGTCATGCTCTTTCTCTCTCTCACTCGCTCTTTTTCAAATAAATAAAATAAAATCTTTTTTAAAAAAAGTAAAACCAAACAAAGGGAGTTTGAGTAGAAGATGCCAGAGGTAAGAAGGATACATTTGAGAATAGCATATAATTAAATAAAAATATTTAGGCACTAACTAGCTCTCATTGTCTCCCTGGGGCAGATGAACCTGGCTCATACCTCAACTGCCTACCTTCTCATCTCCATGGCACCAGCATTCCTGAGACTTTACCTGGCTCTATAAGCCATCTCCTTGGGTTTCAAACTTTAAGCAAAAACTAAATATCCCTAACAGTGAAGACATATAACCATATGGCTGTGGGACGCTGTTTTCTTTTCCATAAAAAACAAATATTTACTTGTCATCTGTAGACTCTGTGGTACCTGTTTAGGTTTTGAACCCTGTAAGTTTCTGCTCCTTCCCCCTAGTCCTAGCACCTTAGCAATGCCAACCACCCCTGCTCCAGCCCCCCAGAGACTTTCCACAGAGCAAAATAAGTCAGTCGGGCAGGGAAATGCAAAAGCAAGAGGAAATACATGTTCTCAACTATAGGTAGTTCTTCTTTCAGGGAAGGTATTCTCTTTGCTGAGGGCTTCCTGGAGAGACAGGTTAACCAAAGGGAATCTCCAGGCACATTCCCTGTAGTCCCAGATTTCTGGGGGTTGGAATCAGCCCCTCCATGGAGTCTCCATCATACATACATCCTAAATTTGTAGAACAATAAAAAGTTGTCCATGGTACCATTCCAAAGTAAAAATTTCCATAAGGCTATGCTAAACACCCTTCATTCCTGAAATCACTACAACTGTACAACCCCCCACCCAAAGGCCCTAAGAGCAGCTCACCAGTGGCCAGTCAGTTCCCAATGGCCTGTTTTCAATCTGCCCATTCAACCTCTCCACCCTCTGACCACACCTATTTCTAAAAACTGTGTCCTCTGCTGGACATTGAACACCGCTCTCTCTGGGTTGCCCTCCACGGCAGAGATGACTTTTCCTCATTATTGATTCTCCTCTCCTGTCTTTGGCAATTCGATCTGGTCCCCACCCCAAGAGAATTTTGGCAAGGAACATGGCCACTGTGAGAGAGGCTGCATCTCTGGGATGACTGCGCAGTGAGAAGCCACGAGCCTGTTCAGGTCAATGGGTTGTAAGTTGAAGTGATCTGCACAACTTCTGGATTACGTCACCTAGATAGGAGCTGCTGGTCCTCTCCTTTTCCCTGCCCCTCCCTATACGCGAGGATGTGGATATGGATGTGGATGTGATGCCAAGCCAGCATCAAACCATGTGAGTGAAGGTAACTCCCTCGGGATGAGCAGGGCGGAGAAGTGGGACGCAGGGTGAAGCCAGTGCCCTGTAAAATCTGCATTCAACACACAACTTTGGAAACACATTCTTTGGGGAAGCTAAGGAAAGATCTCCCTGGCTTGGCTTACTTCTGAAACTCCTGCTTTTGGAATCCGGAGGTCTCTTACAAATCCCCAGCTTATCTGAGCCTTCGGGGAGCTGAATCCTCAGGGTTTTCAACACACACAAGGATCCCTCCCGCTCCAACATCAGGCAGGGTGGAATCCTCAGTGCAGAAAATTCGCAAGAAGACTCCAGCCTGAGGTCGTTCGGCGGCTCGGTGGGACCTGGCCCCGCCCCAGCTCGGCCCCGCGCGTTTTGGGGGCGTCCGGCCGGGGCAGTGCGGGAGCGCGCGGCCGACGCCCCCCGGGCTGCAGGGACCCGCCATTGTCCGGGGGCAGCGGCGGCCCCGAATCCGATTTACGGGACGAGAAGGCATGCAAAGCGGTGGGTTTAGACCTTTATGGATCCATTTTCTCTCTGCCCGGGGAACGACGGAGAGGGAGATTTATGACCTTAAGACAAAAGCGCTGGTGCTAACGGGCCGTGGGAGGAGCGGGAGGGCGGGGACGGGGAAGCGCTCACCCAGTCTCCCGAAGGGCAGCCGATTCCTCTCGCCCAGCATCAGGTTGAACCTGGGGTTGTCGCGCCTCAGCCTCTTCCAGTGGCCGGTGGCGAGCAGCAGCCGCGAGACCTCGGCGTAGACGCTGCTGTTCTCGTCGCGCACCACGAAGGTGTACATGGCGAAGGGCCGTGCGCCCGGGCCGCCCGGGCCGCCGCCGCAGGGACCAGCCGGCCGAGGTGGCGGC